TACGTGTCCTGCAGTGCTCCTGTCTTGTGCCAGCCAAGCCGAGCCCTGCATCAAACCAAGATTTGTAGATCTGAAAACAGTTCATTCTCTTTTTTTTACATCTAATTTTTTTTTTTCTCTTAAGGATACCTCATTGTCTTTCGAGATTAGTGCCCACATTATCTTGTAAGGTCATGATTTTATTTGGGGAGATAATTTGGTTTTCCTCTGTAGGCACCACAGTGGGAGCGGCATTGCTGGAGGACTGGTGAAGGGGGCTTTGTCTGTTGCGGCCTCTGCGTACAAGGCCCTGTTTTCTGGGCCGCCAGTCACTGCACAGGTCAGTGTGTGGTTTCTTTTCCTTAACTTCAGCCCCTCAGTCACCAGTACAAATGGCAGTGTCTTTCTGTCTGGATTGGCAATTAACATGGCATGGACTATATATAGATTTATTCTTTGATGAACACATAGCCCTGCCATTTCCTATCTTTTTAATGAAGTTACTCTGGGGAGAAAAGGAAAAGAACCTAAAATTTGTTGAAGACCTACTACATGTACAGTTACATGTACAGGTGCTACTGGATGCATAAGACACACATTCCTGTCAACAACTCCGGAAAATTGGCAAAGCATGCACATTTCCAGGACAGGTAGGATACTATGCCGGTGCGGTCCATCAGCTGGAACATATCCACCTACTGGGACAGAGGTTTCCTGGAAGTTAGTATCTGAACTGAGGCCTAAAGGACAAAGCGAGTGTTCCCCCAGGAAAGAATATTTTAATACTGAATGTGGTAGCTCTCTCCTATAATCCCAGCTACTGAGGAGGCAGAAAGATTATAAGTTCAAAGCCAGCCTGGGCTACATAGTAAAACCTTTACTCAAAATAAGATTTTAAAAGGGGTACAGATGTAGTTTAATAATGATAGAACTCTTGCTTAGCACCCTAGGTTCGGTCCCAGGGTCTTGTCTTCTTTGAAAAATAAAGTTGAGTAGCTAGTAAGAGCTGGCAGTGAGTGGATGGTGAATCGGATCTGGAGAGAAGAGTAAGAAAAGAAAAGGCGAGCTGTAAGTGCTGGGGTTTTATTTAAGGAATAGGAAGGTTTTTTGTTGTATTGTTTGGGGTTGGTTTGGTTGGTTGGTTTGGTTTTGGAACAGTCTCTCCCCATAGCCCTGACTGTCCTGGAAGTCACTGTGTAGACTAGGCTGTCCTTGAATTCACAGAGCTCCATCTGCCTCTTGAGTGCTAGGACTTAAGGCATGAGGCACCACACCCTCATGGACAGACTTTGAGGATGTGATTTAATGTGATCACATTTGTTTTTAGTGAGGTCACTCTTCTACAGTATAGCTGTATAATGAAACCAGTAAAGAAATCCACATGAAAATCCACATAAAGGTAGAAATTAAGGGTTTAAAAAATAACATAAAAGAGATAGAAATGTCAGAACTTGTCAGTGATTAAGTGCTTAAAAACATGTCAAGGGGGCTGGGCAGTGGTGACACGTGCTTTTAATCCCAGCACTTGGGAGGCAGAGCCAGGTGGATCTCTGAGTTCAAGGCCAGCCTGGGTCTACAGAGCAAGATCCAGGACAGGCACCAAAACAACACAAAGAAACCCTGTCTCAAAACAAAACAAAAGTCAGGGATAAATTTCAAGCTCTAGCTTAGGTATTCAGTAGTGCCATGCATTACAAGAAAATAGGGCCAGTGAAGCCACTCAGTTGAGTAATGGTGCTTGCTACCAAGCCTTGAAAACGTGAGTTCCAATCCCTGGTAAGGGATTGGGAAGTTCCAATCATCATGGAAGGAGAGAACTGACTCTCAAGAGTTGTCCTCTGATGACCACATGAGCACCATACACACAAACATAAAATACAAAATGCCCCCACCAATGAAAAGAGTTTATTATTTGGGTAGGAGTTGACCTAGTAGGTTTTGCTTAGTGTTGAGTTTACAGTTTATCCAGGTTAAAAGTAAAGCCATCCACCATGTAGTTGGATGTGTATATCTCCATCATAGAGAAGAGATTTGACCTGAGGCTGAAGTTTGACAGTCATTTGCATACAGGTTCTAGCAGGAGCTGTGTGATTGAATAGGATTAGCCAGGGAAAATGGAGAAGGCAGAAACAGCCTTTAAGGATAAGGCAACAGAGCTCTACCAAGACAAAACTTAGAGGGAAACAGACAGGGCCACTGCTGGGATTCGGGGAGGTTCATAAAGGGACAGTAGGCAGTGCTAAATGCTGCAGAGAGCTGTGACCCAGGAGTGAGGAATTTGACAGTTCCCAAGTATGCTTCACTTTCCCACAGCTAGCTATGTGGGGGAAGGAAGGTAAACACTAGTCCACATAAGGCAGAAGGAAGTGTTTACAAGAGACTTGAGGTTGACAAGCCTACCTGAACGATGTTATCAGTACAGAGGAGAGGAAAATTTCTAAGGTAGTAAAGGTAAAAAGAAAAAATGTCTAAGTAGATTAAACCTGTCAAGGGTGATAGACTATTCTAAAATAAGCAGAAAGAGGGACTAGGGGTTATAGCTGAGTTATAGCTCAGTGGCAAAGCACATGTTTAGCATATGTCAGATGGAGACAGCATCTCAGTGAGTTCAAGGACAGCCTGATCTACATAGTGAGTTCCAGGATAGCCAGGGCTATATAGAGAGACCCTATCTCAAAAGAGGGAGAGCGGGGATTTCTGTAAATGGGTGTTAGCTTCCTCTTAATGAGATCACTTCTATTTTGAGGATAAAAAGACTGCTTGAGGTATAATTTCCCAATTCTGTATCCACCTTGCTTGCATACCTGGAAAGATTGATGTCACATGCCATCTTCAGTATGTCTTTCTTGCTCACATTTGTCCCATCACCACAATTTGATGTTCACAAGTCTTCAAGGCTTCTTTTCATCTTGCACTTCAATTTTTCCTTGGCTGAAGAATGGGTGATTTTTGTTTGTTTGGGGTCTTGGAGGTAAGGGCTCACTCTGCAGAGCCCAGGCTAGCCCCAAACTTGTGTTCTTCCTCCAAGCTGGAATCACAGGTATGAGCCATGCCTGAGCATGTTGCTTTTATCAGGTTCTCTGAAGCATTCATTGTCCTCTCCGTCCCCCTCTCCTTGAGCTGTGCACATACCTAGCCAGAGCACTCTTGACCCACTGACGTGTGAGGGAGACAGGAAAGCTGTACCTTTGCATCTACTTACCTAACATTTTGAATAAGTCAGGAAAGACTAGGATGACAGTATAATAAAGATTTGCAAGATAAGCGATTAGATTATACAGAAAACGGTCTACTTCTTGTCTTCAACAGCCCATCGTTTCTGAAGATCAAACAGCAGCCTTGATGGCCCATCTCTTTGAAATGGGATTCTGCGACAGGCAGCTGAACCTAAGGCTGCTGAGAAAACACAATTACAACATCCTGCAGGTTGTGACAGAGCTCCTTCACATCAACAACAATGACTGGTACAGCCACCGCTATTGAGGACCCATCTTGTATTAAATAACTGCCTGCTGCTCAGAGATGACCTTAGTCTGTCATTGAGGTGTGGCTGCAAGCCCTTGCTTGTTTTTAATCTGATGAATCTGTATCGAGTGTCACTGAATTGTCAAAACAGTACCTGTTACAGTATTTTTTGGAGCAAATCAAAGACCAGAACTTAAATTTTCATTTTAGAAATGGGATAAGTAGTAGAAAGACAGTTTTCAGCTGATCTGGACAGAGCTCTCCGCTGTAGTGTGTGGAAGTATGTTACTTGGACTTCTGTAGACCGCTTTCCTTTTGCTTGTACTGAAGTTGAGTATTTTCCTTTGTTATATGTGGATGTTTTTAATGGGCTGTTAAATGTTAGTTTGGTTTTTGTTTTTTAAAGATTAACCTTGAATGTTTTCAAGAATTATTCTCCTAATTTCTGTAACCAACTCCAAGCTTCATAGCTATGTGACATTAAAGGACAGCAGATCAAGAAAGTCATTTCCCTGTAAGACTTAGTTAAATAAGTAACCCTTTGCTTTCAAAAGACCCCAGTGGTGTGGTTGAGTGTTCACCTGGCAGGACAGAAGGGCATGCTAGTTAACCCACCAGCACCCATTGAGCAGTGATTGTTGAAGTAATTTTGCATAAAGTTTTATTTAAGGAAAAATCCTAGGTAGTGTGATATTTCGCTAATCGCATAGAGAAGAGGAAAACCCACCTGTTACATAAAAGGAAAAGGTAAATGTAACAGTCTTCTGTGACTGTCGGAGCAGACCTTAAGAACAGATACGTGCAGACATTCATCTCGGTAAGGTTTGGGTATGTGTGAGGGGACAAGGAAATGCTGGTGACTTCTGAACGTTTGTAATCTTCTTCTGAGGTGTCCAGCCCCAGAGAGGAGAACAGGAAGTGCTGGATGGAGGCTAACCCACCAAAAGGTTAGTTTAACTCTAGGATAAATGGGAAGAAGCTTGCTTCCAGAATTCTAGGTCTCATTTAGTTTATCAAAGGGAGCTTTGGGTACAGGTGGTTATAGAAAAGGTAACAGAACACTAAAGATTTTATTCATAAAAAGAGAAGGAATCTGGACCCCAGCTCAAAGGGGAAAGATAGTTAAAATAGTATTATTTAACTTAGTTGGTATTTATAATGGCGATTTTAATTACTCATAATCTGTTTATTTACAGTCTAACTCTTGAATGCTTCTAAATAAACCACAATTCAAACTGCAAGCCAACCAGGCTGTTTATTATTTAAAACGTTTTCATGGGGTTTGGGGTAGAAGTGGAACCGCATGGTGTGGGTAATGAGGTGGATTTGGAGTCGAACCTGTCTTGACCATCTGGGTCCAGTCGTTCCTTCCGTTGTACTTGTACATAACCGCTTAAAGAATTATGAATAAATGTCCTTTGAAACGCTTACCTGGACTAGTTAGTTGGTCCTTGCAGAATTTGTTTTCCCTTGAGCCGGAAGTGTCTTTCAGCAGCGGGCGCTCCGGGGGAGGGGGCGGGGCGGAGGGGCGGGGCCAAGCCTGGCTTGGACTCCGAGCTTGTGATAAGCGCGCAGCTCCCGCAGTTTCGATTATGCTGAGGGCGTCGTCCTTTTGGGGTAAGGCTCTCCCGGGACCCCCCACCCCTACTTTCCCTTTTTAAAGCAAGAGCCCAGGGACGTTTGGGCTCTCTCAGCGCCCAACGTAGTGCCCAAATTCGACTAACGGCCAGTGTGGTAGGATTTAAAATCCTTCCTCAATGAAGTCCTACCTTTCCCTTCCTGGCCCACCTGATGCCCTTGGCAAAATCCCTAGTAGAGAGGGAAACTTGGATCCTGGAAGCCAATGATCCCTGCTCCCCACCTGCCGCACATTCATTCTCCCAGGTCTCCCAGGTGAAGGGAGCTGATCGTCCCCGCCCTGGGGACCACCCCACCTTAGAAGCCCCTTCTCCCCAAAGGAGCATTCCAGAAAATCCAGTCTTGCACCTGAGAAGAGCCTGGAATCCCAGACCTAAACCAGGTGAGTACGGTGTCTTTATTTTACTCCAAGAAGATCTAAGTATGTCCTAACGAGCTACTTCATTCCAGCCACTACTCGGGGCTTTTGGGGGAAAGTTCAAAATTATCCTTGACCTTTCCTAATGAAGACCAGACTCAAATGTGACAGTGAAGAACAGATTGAGGCTCCCTCCCAGTTCCTTTTCAAACGGCTTCTTAGCCACATCTCTGATCTCTCAAGAAGCCCTGTTTTTCTGTTATAGACAGACTCCAGAATGGAAACCTCCCTTCTACACTCACAGGCTGACTTCAGGCAATTCTGCCCTGGTGCTTGCTCTTGGATTTCTACAAAATAATCCCTTGATTAGGGAGGACAAAGGGACCCTGCACTGCTGTGCTCCCCTCTCCCAGTCTTTGAAGTAAATGATAGTTCAGCTTTTCCTGGAAAAATATTCTGTGTTCACTTATGGAAGTCCCTTAAAGTGAAGTAACTTCTGCTTTTCTTTGGTTTTCTCTATTTGAACTCTGATTTTAAAAAAGGCCCCAAGGCGCCACCCACACCTCTCTTCTCTAAGCTAAGCTTGCTTGGATAATGGTAAGGCTTCTTGGCAATCTTGAAAACTTAAAACCAGAGTTATATCTGGCACCAATGCCAACAGGCTAATAGCACTGAACCTTGTTTTATTTCTCATTAGTGAAAAATCCCGCTGAGCTATGGGTAAGGCATTCTCCCAGCTCACCTCTCAGCAGGATGAGGACAAGTCGCTCCTACCTGATAACCCAGCCAGGGCCAGCAAGGCTGCCAACTACCTCAGCAGGGGTAGCAGCAAACCACCGTGCTCCCATGTGCCTTATGCAAGGGTTGCTGGTACCAGCTTTGTGATGTGTCCTACCTGCCTAGGCAATGGGGAGATCCCCCCAGGTGAGTAGCCCAAGGCTCTGGAAATACCCTTGGAACCAGGGAGAGATCCAGACCTGCCCCTCTGTATCTCCTGGAGTAGGTGGCCAGGCTAGTTCATGCTCTCTTAGTCTCAGACTGGCCAAGGAGAAATATCCAGGTCCTGCCATTGCTGTTCCCAGACCTAGAGGAAAGTTTCTTGTCCCTCTGCTCCTCAAACAATACTGAGCTGCCAGCCTTCACCCCTGTGTTCTCAATCCTGCTGTGGGATGGAGGCAGTGTGCTTCTGGCCCAGCTAGATGGAGTGGAGAGGTGCTTGGGGGAGGCTAGCACGGGAAATATTTGTCATGGACACTTCTTGGCCTCCTCTCTCACCCTCTTTCCCTCTACAGAGCTGGAGAAGCAGCTGGTAGCCCTCATCCCTTACGGAGACCAAAGACTGAAGCCCAGACACACGTGAGTGTCATCTATCCCTAGGGGCTGCCTCACCTTTCTCCTCTGGTTTATCTCCTGGTTTTTCCCCCATCCAGGAAGTTCAAGTCTCGCTGTGATTAAACTTACATTACCTTTGAGTTTCCAGGGATTGTCTTTTAAGAATGATAGTGTCAGCAGCTGGGACTGTGATTCACTGAGAGTTTGCATGAGGTGCTGGGTTTGATCTCTAGCCAAAATAAAATAAAAAATAAAAAAGTGGGGTGAGGGGAGAAGATAAATGTCATAGTTTTGCTAATTACCCTTGATTCACAATGTAGACAATGTATATTGGAATATCATACCCCATAAATATGTACACTTATATGTCAGTCAAAATATAACTTAACAATAACAACAAAGGCCACGTAGATCACAGTAGATGTGAGCTCAGGCCATTTCATGGCTGTGTAAATCCTTCCAGGAGGGAACAGGTTGCCCTGGTTGCAGCTCCCTTTGCTATAGCAGTTTAGATCTTGTGTTCTTCCCAATAGAGGTAGAAAACCAGCTGCTTAGTTCAGAAGCAGCCCTGGGTTTCAGTGCAGTGCCCATGACCCTGTATGTGATCAGCATCCATTTGACATGAATCCCTGCAACCTCCTCCAAAACCCCTCAGCTTCCACCTAAGAGCTGTTGCCCGGCCTCCCCAGCCACTGTACTAAAAGCAGAACCTATCCCAGGAAATGGCTTGGGGGTACAGGGGCTTGCTGCCCAACCTGATGACCTGGGTTCAAACCCCAGGACCACGTGGTAGGAGCGAAGTAACTCCCACAAGTTGCCCTCTGGCCTCCACACAGATGCTGTAGCACATACATACAAAATAAATAAATGTAATAAAACTGGAAATAGTGTCCCTCATAAAATACTAGGTTCTTTCTAATTCATATCTCAGATTGAATTGCATGGATAGATAGTATCCTGTTCTGAGTACTGAATTTAATTAAATATTAAAACTCAGAGCTCTCAAAGAGTCATATAGACTGGTTTCAAGTAGTGAGAGCAGCATTCATTGAAGTCTTGCTGTCTGCCAGGAACCGTGATTAGTTATTTTTTTTTTCCTCTGTTGATTCATAGGAAATTCTGTGAAGTAGATCTAATTATCTCCACTTTACAGACGTACTGGGCTTTTGAAGAGGTTAAGTAGTACCATTCAGTGTTATTGGGTCAATGGGGATAGAGATCTGGGAATGGAAGCCATGTTAACTGCCTTCCAATCCTGTGCTGAACCACAGCTAGAGAGCTAAGTATGCAGTTGCCAGATTGTGTGCAAGAGGAAGCCACCTGTCTAGAGAGGAGGATCTGAATCCCCTCCTCAGATTGTCTTGGTGTTCTCAGACTTTTCTCCTCCATTCTGGGGCCTGTTCTCACACAGGAAGCTCTCCGTGTTCCTGGCGGTGATCATCTGCCTGCTTGCTTTCTCCCTCACCATCTTTTTCCTGTATCCACGGTCCATTGTCGTGTACCCCATAGGCCTCAACTCCTCCATGGTGACCTTTGATGAAACTCATATACGACTCAATATGACGGTAGGTGGTAGGTGCCCCTGATTTCACCCCTACCTTCTCCAAAACACTTCCATCTTCCTTGTAGCCTAAGGTGAAAGTACCAAGGATCTTGTGGTATGCAGAAGGATGCTGAGAGGCTACATGAGCTCCATAGTAGATTGTATGAGATTGGGGCTCTGCATAGTGAAGGGTTAGAATCTGGGCCAGATCATTCAGAGGGTGGAATAAGGATGTCAGGACAGAATGGAGAGAAACTGAGCAGAATAAAACTGAATCCTCAGCTAGCAAACTTTGATTGATTGATGGATTTTCACTGTGTTGCCCAGGTTGGTCTTGAATTCCTGGGCTCAAGTGATTCAGCCTCCAGAGTAACTGGACCGAGGAGATGTGTTGTGGAATATCATTTTAAGATGTGTTACATTTGTTTATGCTGTGGAACATTTGTTTTAATAATGCAGAGATGTGTTGCGTTCTTTTATGTTGCATTTGTTTAACTCTGTGAAGCTGTGTTACTTTGTCTAAAATACCTGATGGGCTAAAAAGAACTGAAAGGCCAGTAGCAAGGCAGGAGAAAGGATAGGTGGGGCTGGCGGGCAGAGAGAATAAAACAGGAGAAATCTGGGAAGAAAAAATTGAGGAGCAAGAAAGGGAGGAGGAGGAAGACATCGGGGCCAGCCATCCAGCAACACAGCAAGCCATGGAGTCAGAAGTAAAGAAAGGTATATAGACTAGAGAGAGATAAAAGCCCAGAGGCAAAAGATAGACGGGGAAATTTAAGAAAAGCTGGTAGACACAAGCCAAGCTAAGGCTGGGCATTCATAAGAAAGAATGTGATTTATTTGGGAGCTGGATGGCGGGTCCCCCAAAACAGCCAAAGAGTAAAAACAACAACAGGGGGTGTACCACAGGACCCAGCTCAGTGTTATTCCTTAAAGGTGACCTTTGCCATCAAGAGCCTTCAGAGTCACTAAAATACTGTCCTTTGTACCGGCGGCCCAACAGGGTAGGATGGGTCTCGAGCCAAAGAGCCAGGCTTCTGCAGCTGCTTGTGCTTTCCCTGCAGAGGGGGGCCATCTTCACCATTTCTTTCTTTCTTTTTTTTTTGTTTTTTTTTTTTTTTTTTTTTTTTTGTTTTTCGAGACAGGGTTTCTTTGTGTAGCTTTGGAGCCTGTCCTGGAACTCACTCTGTAGCCCAGGCTGGCCTCGAACTCACAAAGATCCACCTGGCTCTGCCTCCCGAGTGCTGGGATTAAAGGTGTGCGCCACCACCGCCCGGCTGATCCTCACCATTTCTTTTCCTTGCTGCCCTCTCCAGAATATCTTGAACATCTCCAACAGCAACTTCTACCCCGTCAGGGTGACAGAGCTGACTGCAGAGGTTCTCCACCAGACCTCTGTGGTGGGCCAGGTTACCAACAGCCTCCGCCTGCACATCGGACCTTTGGCCAGTGAGCAGGTAACGTCCCTCCTCCTGACCAGCCCTGCCCGCAGGTGTGTGGACATCTGTGGTAGTGGGAAGGGGGCGGCCTCGGGTGTGGCTAATCTCGTGCCTTTTTGGTTGACAGATGCCTTACGAGGTCGCCAGCAGGATTGGGGATAACAACACATAGTAAGAACCCTTTGACCTCTTCTACCTTCTTCCTTGGCTTAAAAACCCAGTTAATATTCACTGAGGGGTTGGTGAGGGAAAGACGTCGGCCACCATGACCTGAGTTTGATCTTCCCGTCTTACATGGTAGAAAGAGGAGAACCCACTCCCATAAATTGTCCTTTGACAGCCACATATGCCATGACCTAAGTGTACCTGAACACACACACACACACACACACACACACACACACACACACACACTCAGTGTTCTTTTAGGTTGTTTTGTTTTGTTTTGTTTTTTGGTTTTTCGAGACAGAGTTTCTCTGTGTTGTTTTGGTGCCTGTCCTGGATCTCGCTCTGTAAATCAAGCTGGCCTCGAACTCACAGATATCCGCCTGGCTCTGCGTCCCAAGTGCTGGGATTAAAGGCATGTGCCACCAACACCTGGCAAACTATATTTTTTAATTTAAAAAATATCTGCCAGGAGGTGGTGGCGCACTCCCAGCACTCGGTAGGCAGAGCCAGGCGGATCTCTGTGAGTTCGAGGCCAGCCTGGGCTACCAAGTGAGTTCCAGGAAAGGTGCAAAGCTACACAGAGAAACCCTGTCTCGAAAAAACAAAACAAAAAAATCCACTTGGCTTTGTAATTGCTACAGACTCAGGAACCTGCATTTGACCTGCCCCCCTGTGGCAGGGTAAAAGTCCATCGCCTCTCCCTATTAGACCTAGATTAGAATAATGGGTAGAACTTTGTTAATCTTTACGTGAGTTGGACTCTTTAAAGCTCTGTGGGAGAGTAGTATCTAGTTTTCTGCTGAGAGAGAGGCCAGCATATGCCTGAGCCAAGAACATGGATGGCCAGGTGGCCAGGCTCATCTTAGAGGATAAGGGGTAAGGGGTTGAGAGAGGCATCTTGGAGGCCCCTGATGGGAGGCAAGCAAACTGTGTTGACTTGTGGCTTGTAAGTCCCCTCTTTGAGTTTCCCGACCATCTGTAAAAACAAGGCTCACTCTTCTCTCCCTCTCAGCAAAATCTGTACGTGGCTGAAAGTCAAAGTCCACCATGTTCTTTTGCACATCCAGTAAGTATGGCATGGAACTCCTGCATCCCCACTCCTGCTTCGGGCTCACCTCAGCTGCATTTTATGAGGGAGAATCGTGGTAGCTCACATCATGAGTCTTTGTTAGCTCCAGAGAACAGCAAGCCTAGGGCCTGTTCCACACCTTACCTTGCTTAGGAGCCTTGTCTGGAGCTTCCAGAACACAGGTGTGGTAACTGTCCCAGTGTCCTGGCAAAGCAGGGAGCAGAAGGAAGTGGGTGGGAGGTCCTAGGGAGCCAGCCTCACTCACGCACACAGTAGAGCGAGGCCAAAGCGGTCCCTTCCCTCCCAGACTTGGCAACAAAGCCTACTTCCTCTCCAGGGGTACTTTGACCTGCTCCTACCTGAACCATCCACAGCAGCTGCCCTTCGAGAGCTTTGAATATGTGGACTGCAGGGAGAATATGTCACTGCCCCACCTGGAGAGCCCTCGCCCAGCCTGACAGTACTGCCCCTGTCCTGCAGGCTCCTGCAGGTTGTCTGCAGCTCAACTCCATGGAGCTCAAGGAAGGACTAGTGGCTTCGCTGATGGAAGCAAACATCTGGCTTTGTGGTGCCTTCCTCTGACACCCTCAGCACAAGGAGCTTCTTTAACAATGCCATAGGCTCTGACTCCTCAGGTGTCCCAGAGTCACTTCTGACAGTTCCCACCTGTAGTCTGTGCTCAGACTGTCTGACTGACTTGGCATCGTCTTGGGGCTGAACATGTTGGTTGCCCGGCTCTCCCAGGGTGGGTCATCAGTTGGAATGAAGAGAAAGCTTATCTAGATTTTAACAGCACAGATGAATCCTTTTCATGTTCTCCCAGTAATAGTAGCCTTGAGGACATGCAGTGCTGGCTCCAAGGTCTTTTTAGGTGACTATAAATGTTCTCTTGTGCTGTCTGTTATGGTCATGTGATAGTGATGGTGATGGCCTGCTTCTCTCGACCTGCATACGACACCATCTAAACCTCTTCTCTGTAGAGCAGCTTTAATGTTATCGTCACAGCAGAAGCTAAGTAGCTGAGGAGAGGCCATCTGGTCTGCCCTAGACCAAAGGCAGAGTTTTTTGAAAAGGTATTTATTAAAGGTAAGTTTCTAAGTAAGTTTCTCACAATCCAGAGCCCATGTGAGTATTCACAGGTAGGTCAGACAGAAGAGTATTCCCAGTGGCTGTGTTCAAAAAGCCTGAAGGACATAAAGCTTTTAAATGTCAGGACAGAGCTGTGAGGCTCCCGTGGGTTCTCTGCTCGGCATCAGGCCCACCCTCTGTTCCCAAGGCCTCTGCTGTCCTCTGGGCCTTGACTGAAGAATGATAGATTCACCAGAACTGGACTAGATCCCTCCTTGCCTGTCTCTGCACTGGAGCCAAACCCCAGGTAACCCGCAGGTTCCCCCGGGACTCCAGAGGCGGTATCTGTATTGCAAGAGAGCAGGGATGTGTGTTCACTAAAGCTAGCTAGCTTTGCCCTTCAGACAGGTGGGGAGGGACGAACATGGTGGGTGTGGCGGGGGAAGCTGAAGCTGAAGATAGATGGATACAAGGAGATAGGTAACAGAACTATGTAACTAGCTGGGGCTACAAGGAGGGAGGGAAGTCTGTCGTTGCCAAGCCAGGGTTAAGGTACCAACAAAACGCAGAGACTCAGGGAGGTCAGGCTGAGGTTGCAATGTATAAACCACCAAATGTGAAAGGTTTTTATCAATAAACTCTATTGAGCAGTGTTGAAGGAAAACGGGGTTCCTGGGCAGATGAACGAGGATGCTGGTGTGCACTCCACATCTCAGACCATTTGATTTTCTGTGTGCCTGCATGTGGAGGTCAGAGCACAACCCTGGGTGTCCTTCCTTGGGTACTTTTTTTTTTTTTTAATGTGTTTTATTTTGAGACAGGGTCTCATTGTGGAGCCCTGACTATCCTGGAACTCACTATGTAGACAAGGCTGGCCTCAAACTCACAGAGATCTGCCTGCTTCTCCCTCCCCAGGGCTGGGATTAAGGTGTGCACCACCATGCCTGAGTTTTTGTTTTGTTTTGTTTTTTTGAGACAGGGTTTCTCTGTGTAGTTTTGGTCCCGTCCTGGAACTCACTCTGTAGACCAGGCTGGCCTCGAATTTATAGAGATTCACCTGTCTCTGCCTCCCGAGTGCTAGATTTAAAGGTGTGCACCACTGCCCAGCTGCCAAGCCCTATCCTTAAAACAGTCAAGGTCCAGGGATCTACCTATCTCTGTCCCCCTGGTCCTGGGATTAGGGAGCACGTGCCACCATGCCAAGCTTTTCTCACATGGGTTCTGAGGATTAAACTAAGGCCTTTTTGTACCTGCAGGATGATCACCTGTGTTCCCTCCCCAGGCTTCAAACCTTTGTGCTCTGATAGGCATGTAGACTTCCAAGACCTTCCGAAACATGTTCTGTTCCTCCGGCTTCTAAGAGATTACGCCCAGAGGCTTGATTTTTTTTTTTCCATTGTGTATTCCTAAACTGTCTTTGAACTTTAATATTCCTGTTCCAAGCCAGTTCCCATTCTGTCCCAGCCGTCCCACTCAGGCATCATCCCTAGACTATATATAGTAAGACAGGGCTCCTTACCCAAAGGTGATGCTCCATGGACTAATATGAAATGACCTATTGGTCCCCAGTTATGACTGACATGTCTGAGGGAGGCTTTCTCAGCACTGGAGCAGAAGGGACTTCACAGGACTTGTGTGTCTTCCTTGAGGCTGACTTTGAGGGCCCCCAGTCCTGCCTCCTCTTCCAGCGTGGGCTGGTAAAGAAGGGAGATCTGGAGTTTTGGGGGTCTCCTGGCCCTCTGCTAAATGGAAAGTATGACACCCAGGAAGACAGAGTCCTGAGGACTTTAGCAGACAAGTTCCTTGCCCCTAAGGTCATGTGTCCTCAGTGTCCTCAGCCCAGTGCGTCAGTACCCTCTTCTTCTGAATTCTCTCACCCCCTTCCCGCATCACCCACCTAACAGCTCAATACCTAATATGGACCCAGGACTGCATAAAGCTTGGACATCCCTACCTGCCCCCTCTTCCCACTGCGCTCTAGTGTGATTACAGCCCCTCCCTTCTCAGGCTGTATCTCAGTAGGCATGAGCTTGGTTAGCGTGATGGTCATTGATAAGCCGAGATGTCTGCCATCACTGGATAAGGAACAGTGGTATAGCTGTAGGAGGTGCTAGCTTGAGGTGGGGCTCAAGACCATGTTCTCCCTTGGCTTGGCCCCAAACCGTGTGGACTCGACTTCTACTCTCTTCCCTCCTCTACCCCCAGGTGTGGGTCCTTCTGCCCTCCTCCCCCATCCCCTGCTCAGGAAGCCGACCAGCCTCCTGGTTCTTTCCAGGAATCACATTTTAATCCCAACTAGCCTCCTCTCCAAATGTGGCTGGCTTTTTGGAGTAGACAGGTTGCAAGTGGAAAGAAAGTGTGGTTACTGTCTGTTTTTTGTTGCTGTCTAGGTTTTTTGTTTTGTTTTTTTTTTGGTTGCTTTTCTTTTTGCTTTGTGGTATCATCAGGTCTTGGAGTCCATCTCTGGATCACCACTGCTGGATGTAATTCGTCGACTGAAAAAGTGAGGAGACAGGAAGCAAAACAAGTTAGTCGTGTCTGGGTGGGCTGCTTTCAGAATACTGTGTTAAGTCTCTGAGGCCAGGACTCTAAAAGTCAGATAAAACAGAGCAGCTGCTCCTCTGCCCAAAGCGCCTGAGAACCTGCACAGGTGCCCTCACCCTCGGTGACCGTACCCCACCCACTCCTGCCGTTTCAGGCTCTGATTAGGAGTTACCCGTTGGTAGTCTGGCCTGTGGCTCAAGCCAATAATCTCATCGACTTGGGAAGCTGAAGTGGGAGGAACACAAGGTCAAGGCTTGCGTGGGGTACAGAGGGGGTTCAAAGTGAGCCTGGGAAACTTAAGATCCTGTCTCAAAATTTTAAAGTGGGAGGCTAGAGAGAGAGCTAGCAGTGAGAGTGCTTGCTGAGGCCGGGCGGTGGCGGTGGCGGTGGCGGTGGTGTCGGAGGCGCTCGCCTTGTGTTGCAGCACTCTGGAGGCAGAGGCAGGTGGATCTCTGAGTTCCAGGACAGCCTGTCTGGTCTATAGAGGGAGTTCCAGGACAGCCAGGGTTACACAGACTTGAAAAAAAAAGGGGGGGGGGTGGAGAACGGGAGGAGGAACGAGAGAGGGATCTGTGGTTGGTATGTAAAAAGAATAAAAAGCCGGGCGGTGGTGGCGCACGCCTTTAATCCCAGCACTCGGGAGGCAGAGTCAGGCGGATCTCTGTGAGTTCGAGGCCAGCCTGGGCTACCAAGTGAGTTCCAGGAAAAGGTGCAAAGCTACACAGAGAAACCCTGTCTCGAAAAACCAAAAAAAAAAAAAGAATAAAAAAATGTATTAAAGAAAAAAATAGCAATGAGAAAAAAAGAAAGTGCTAGCTGATCTTGGAGGACTAGAGTTCTGTTCCCAGCACCCACGGCAGCTCACAACCACCTGTTAACTCCAGCTCCATTGCCGTCTTCTGGCCGCCTCAGACACGTGTACAATACACTTAACTACTCTTTCTTTAAGTAAAAAAAAATTTTTTGAAAGGAAGGTGGCATAGAGCAGAGTGGAGTGGAGCAGTCGGGGGCAGAGTGCTTGCCTAGCATGCACAAGGCCCTGGGTTCGATCCCCAGTACCACCAAAATAATTTCAAAACAAAACCCAGAAGTGACTTTTAAATGACTCCGGTCCTCTCCCGGGACCCCTGCTAAGAAGCCCCCTTGCCTCTCACCGTGAGTCGGGAATATGTAGAAGGGCTAGCCTGGCATGCACTCGTGGGACCTGATAAGACAAAGCACAAATCACTCACCTGGGAGTTGCTGAGGCGGCTGGGGGTGGGAGCAGGCTTTTTCCTGGGTCAAGGCACAGATTGAACCTACACTGAAGAATTCCCAAGAGGAAGCCATTCTGTGAGTCCCTGTTCTACGGTTTACAGGGCTCAGTTTTCTCTGCCAATAAAGGCTACTGGTGCTGGGAAGGGTCAGAGAGGACAGGGGCCAATAGAGCTGAACTGCAGGGGCTGGGGTGGGCGCAAGGGGCTCCCAGGTGGTGCACTCACCAGGACCTGGAAGGATTGGGGGTCCACTCGTTCTACAGGATTGCTGTCCATCTTTTTGGGCCCCCGCTGGCTGAGGCTGGCTGGGGCCTTGCCTTTGGGTGCCCTTCTGTAGGTCATCCTTGAAGGTGCTCTGTGTGGGAGGGTCTTGCTCCTTTGGTGGCTTTGGCCCAGGTGGTGGCTGTGGGTCTGCCTGTCCCTGTGGCTGCTGCCTTGCAGGTGGCGGAGGAGGCCCCTTTGAATCCTGACGTGGCTGAGATTTTTTCTCAGAATGCTGTTTCTTTTCTTCCTGTTTCTTCTCTTCCTGTCTCGTCTCTTCCTGTTTTTTTGCTTCCTAGCAAGAAACCCCCAGCAAGTGACAGTCCTCACCTCACTTATCTGCAAGATGAACTCTGGGTTGCGGAGCCCAGAGGACAAAGGGGAAGCGCAGTGTCTCTATCCCCTGGAGTTAGAGGCTGAAGCTAGGGCCTGGGCTGTCTCCTTCCCTGACAGAGTACCCAAAGCATGGTTCTGAGTCACATTCTCAGTCAGCTAATTCCTGGGGCTGGAAAGATCAGTAGTTCACGGCTGCCTGGAACTCCAGCTCCAGGGTTATATATTAAAACAGGCTTTCTGGATATGGTGGCTCACACTTAAAATTCCAGAACTTGAGAGGTAGAGGCAGGAGAATTGCCACAAGTTGGAGGCCATTCAGGCCGGCATAACAAGTTCTAGGCCAGCCAGGGCTGCAGACTGAGACTCAAAACCAAGGAGCCAGGTGATAATAGCTCAGCTGGTGAAGTGCTCGCTCTGAAGGCGTGAGGACCTTAGCTAGAGTCCACGGAACTCACGATAACAAGCTGGGCGTGACGGCCCATAGTTATAACCCCAGTACTGGGACCCCAGAGGTCGGAGGATTTCTGGAGCTCAGTGACCAGCCAGCCCAGCTTACTTGACAGGCTTCGGGACAGTGAGGAACCCTGTCTCAAAAAGCAAGATGGGCCGGGCGGTGGTGGCGCACGCCTTTAATCCCAGCACTCGGGAGGCAGAGCCAGGCGGATCTCTGTGAGTTCGAGGCCAGCCTGGACTACCAAGTGAGTTCCAGGAAAGGCGCAAAGCTACACAGACAAACCCTGTCTCGAAAAAAAAAAAAAAAAAAAAAAAAAAAAAAAAAAAAAAAAAAAAAAAAGCAAGATGGGCAGCGATGGGGGTGTGGGCATTTAATCCCAGCACCTGGGAGGCAGGGGCAGGCGGATCTCTGTGAGTTCGAGGCCAGCCTGGTCTACAGAGCGAGTTCCAGGACAGGCTCCATAGCTAGACAGAAACCCTGTCCCGAAAAATCAAAAGCAAGATGGATGGTGGTTAAGGAATAGCAAAGGCTGTCCTCCACCTCCACATATGTGTTCACGTATGTGCACGCCCACGTGTGTCTGCACACATGAAAAACAAATACTGGTTCACCTGTGTTCTCTGACTTTGTGTGTGGTTACCAGAAAATATAAAATCAGGCCTGGACTTGTAGCTCCGTAGCGTAGCACTACTTCCCCAGTGTGTGCAAAGCCCTGGGTCCCACCCCAGCCCCTTTTCCCACCATAAAAATCTTACTCATGTGGCACACATGAAGTTTTTAATGGACAGTACTGTTTCAAAACATTTGCAAGGAATTATTCTCTTTCTTATTTGTATGGATGTTTTGCTTGCATGTATGCATGCATGCGTGTATGTATGCATGTGTATCACATGCATGCCTGGTGCCCACAGGGCCCAGAAGGGGATATCAGATCTCCTGGAACTGGAGTTACGTGCGGATATGAGCCGCCGTGTGACGCTAAGAACCAAACCTGGGTCCTCTTTTTTAGAGTAGCCAGTGTTCTTATCCACTGTGCCATCTCTCCAGCCCATTTTTATAATTACGGGTATGTGAAGGAAGGGGTATGAGCATGCGAGTGCCACTGCCTGTGGAGCTAGATGTACAGGCGCCGTGAGCTGCCTCTACAAGGGTACTGCAGGAGAAGGGACTTGGGTCCTCCGGAAGAGCACTCTTAACCACAGAGTCATCTCTGCTCATCTCTCCAGCCACAGGGACACTGGGTTTTTTCTTTTTTCTTTTTTTTTTTTTTTTTTTTTTTTTTGGTCAGAGCTGAGGACCGAACCCAGGCCTTGCGCTTGCTAGGGAAGCGCTCTACCACTGAGCTAAATCCCCAACCCCGACACTTTGTTTTTATTAAAAGCATTTGAGCTCAGGACCTCGAGATGGCTGAGCAGTGAAGAGTATTTGCAGTCCTTCCAAAGGGTCCACAGTAGGTTTCTAGGACTCACATCAGGCAGCTCACAAACACATGTAACTCTAGTTTCAAGGGATCTGACACCTTCTTTTGACCCCTAAGGGCACTGATATACAACATGCAGATACACACACACACACACACAAATAAATCTGGACTAAAGAGATGGGTCAGTGGTTAAGAGCACTGGCTGCTCTCTTCCATAGAACCCAGGTTCAATTCCCAGCACCATATGACAGCTCACACCCATCTGTAACTCCAGTCTTGGGATCCAACACCCTGTCCTGGCCTCCAGTGGCACCAGGCACATGTATGGTACACAGACATACATACAAGCAAAAAGGACATACATACAAAAATAAATCTTAACTATATGTATGTAGCCAGATGTGGTGGAATACACCTTTAATCCCTGCACTCGAGCAGAGGCAAGTGGATCTCAAGAAGTTCAAGATCAGTCTGGTCTACATAGTACACTCCAAGCCAAGTAGGGCTACCTGGTGAAACTCAAAAAAAGAAAAAAAATCCATATAAGAAAAGTATTTGGTCTGCCATGATGTCATATGCCTGTAATCCCAGAACTTGCGAAATGGAGGCAGGAAAATTGTGATTATTAGGTTAGCCTGGTCTATACAGTAAGACTCTGCCTCCCACCAAAAAATAAGTAAAGACAAACAACAACAAAAATACAGTTGAAAAAGACTCACACAAGTTCTGCCAACGATGCTTAGAAATGTAAATTGAATACTGTGGGGTGTGTGTTTGTTGTTGTTTTGAGACAGCGTTTCTCTGTGTAGTTTTGGTGCCTGTCCTGGACCTCACTCTGTAGACCAGGCTGGCCTCGAACTCACAGAGAGCCGCCTGCTCTGCTTCCTGAGTACTGGGATTAAAGGCGTGCATGCGCCGCCACCACCGCCCAGCTTGAATATATACAAATTAAATATAAACCAGCTCATTCTCACTAGCCACATAGCAAGGATTCAGTAGCACACAGTTTCAGGCCATGTACACACACTAGTTAGTCTCAACTAGTTACAAGAGGCTGAGGTAGAAGGACCTTTTGAGCCCAGAAGTTCACAGTCAACCCAGGCAACAGAGTGAGATCTCATCTCTTCAAATACCCTTTTGGGCCTCATCTCCCCCTCCACCCACCTACAACAGGAAAACCGAGCTAGCTTGCCTCCTACCCCAGCAAACAACATTCACAAGCTCACAATCCACTTCCTAGGAAGTCTGTCATCCTTCCCCATTCACACTTGCCCCCTGAAGGACCCTGATGGACCAAGCCCCTTCATGCACCTGCTCTTGCTGCTGCCCCGTGGAGGACCCTGATGATGGACCAAGCCCCTTCATGCACCTGCTCTTTCTGCTGCTGTACCATCATCGCCTTCCTCCGTTCCAAAGCCATCTGCCGACGCCGAGCCTCCCAGTGGTAGGCACTACCCATGATGATATGGTAATAGCCCCAGCAGGGTGTGAGGGCAGGAAAAGCCCAAAATGATGCCACTGTACCCAAACTCCTCTGTTGCCTCCCACCCCAGCCACACTGTCTGTTACCCGGACCACCTCACAATGTAGCCACTGCCAGAGCAACTGGGCAGCCCCCTGAAGTGTTGGAAGTTGAGGCATTATTCCCAAGGCTTGTGGGGAATGCCTGTAAGTCCTCCAGAGTCCTGAGGAGGAAAAAGATACAGTCCCCAGGGTTTCAGTGGATCCTGGAGACTTTGTTTTTGTTTTTGTTTTTCGAGACAGGGTTTCTCTGTGTAGTTTTGATGCCTGTCCTGGAGCTCGCTCTGTAAACCAGGCTGGCCTCAAACTCACAGAGATCCGCCTGGCTCTGCCTCCCGAGTGCCGGGATTAAAGGGGTGTGCCACCACCGCCCGGCACAGAATATTATTTTAAGGTGTGTTGCTTTTGTTTATGTTGCATTTAACTCTGTGAAGCTGTGTTACTGTGTTTGTCTAAAACACCTGATGGTCAAATAAGGGGCCGAATGGCCAATATCGAGGCAGGAGAGAGAAACAGGTGGGGCTGGCCAGCAGAGAGTATAAATAGATGGAGAAATCTGGAAGGAAAAAAAAAAAAAGATGTAGCCAGAGGACAAGGAGAGGAGGACCCCAGGGGCCAGCCACCCAGCCACCCAGCCACCCAGCTACACAGCAAGCCACAGAGTTAAGAGTAAGATTTACAGAAGAAAGAGAACAGGAAAAGCCCAGAGGCAAAAGTAGATGGGATAATTTAAAGTTAAGAAAAGCTGTCAAGAAACAAGCCAAGCTAAAGCTGGGCATTAATAATTAAGAACACATCTCTGTGTGTGATTTGTCTGGAAACTCGTTGGCAGGCCCCCCAAAAAAGAGCAAAAACAACCAACAACGGGGATCAGCTTGAGTTTTGGGGTCAGATGCAGGTTTAATCTTGGCTGTGTCACCTGCTAAGCTGAGGGAACTTGGGCAGGCCACTCAGGGTTCCGGAGCCCCGCCCCGTGTAGGATGCTGGTATGCTTGGAAAACGCCTGCCTTCAAAGTGGGGCACTCAGCTAGGAAAAGCTGGAAAGAACTGCCCCGGCTCTGGTGTGGGACAAGAGGCGTGCTTCGTCTCGCGGGATCCTTCTTCAGTGAAAGGGTGACAGTTCGCACTCTCAGCACCCAGGGGTGCTCTCTCATCCGCAGCACTCTCAGCACCCAGGGGTGCTTCAAAGTGACAGGATGTAATGGATAAAAATAGACTCATCACTGGCCTTAAAAAAGGTGGGGGGGCGCTGGAGAGATGGCTCAGTGGTTAAGAGCACTGGCTGTTCTTCCAGAGGTTCTGAGTTCAATTCCCAGCAACCACATGGTGGCTCACAACCATCCGTAATGAGATCTGGTGCCCTCTTCTGGCCTGCAGGCATACATGCAGATGGAACACTGTATACACAATAAATAAATCCTTAAAAAAAAAAAATGGTACTGGTGTTTTGCATGCTAGTCAAACTGCCACTGATCTATATCCCTAGTCGTCTTTTTACTTTAACCATATTTAAGCACAGCACAATTTTTGAAAAAAAGTATTCAGATGGTGATTAACTCAGTCCCATGTGCACATCAATTTAAGACATGTTTACATTGAGATTCTTTGCAAAGTACATCTGGCTTCTTTCATAAGTTGGGTCCTGTTGACTCAGAGATAGTGCCCAAGATTTAGGGTCCAGGGAGTTTGATTGAGGTAAACATAACACCTGTGTCAGGATTGGCATGCCCTAAGATAACATAGATGTCACTTAGACTGTTGTAAAGCATAAGTGACATCACTTATAAGAGTGGGTTTATGGTCTAAAAGCAATGCTCAAGATTTAGGGGAAAAAGGTCTTGATAAGTAAAAACGTCAATTCTGGGAGACATGGCACAGCCTGTCTCCTCAGACAGCAAAGGATCACCAGGTTGTAAAACTACAGCCGTCCCAGCATTCCAGGAAGAGAAGCTATGCACTTCATTCCATTGAAGAGAGAAGCTGTGTATTTAACTTTCCTGGCTTCTCCAGTGCTTACCTTTGTGCACAAGGCTTTTTGCTCTCTACATGTAGACCAGGCTGGCCTTGAACTCAGAGATTCTCCTGCCTCTGCCTCCCAAATTCTTTGATTAAAGGAGCATGCCACCACCACCTGGCCATAGTTTAGTTTTTTTTTTTTTTAAGATTTATTTATTATGTATACAGCATTTATGACTACAGGCCAGAAGAGGGCACCAGATCTCATTACAGATGGTTGTGAGCCACCATGTGGTTGCTGGGAATTGAACTCAGGACCTCTGGAAGAACAGACAGTGCTCTTAACCACTGAGACATCTCTCCAGCCCCCCATAGTTTAGTTTTTTAAGACAGAGTCTTGCCATATAATTCAGGCTGGCCTCAAATTTGTGATCCACCTGCTTCACCTCCCCAAGTATTGGAATTACAGGTGTGTGCCATCTGTCTTGGTTACTTGGTTCTATTGCTGTGAAGCAATACCGTGACCAAGGCAACTCATAAAAAGAAAACATTTGTTGGGTGGTAATGGTATATGCCTTTAATCTCAGCACTTGGGGGGCAGAGGTAGGAGAATCTGTCAGTTCAAGGCCAGCCTGGTCTAAAGAGTGAGTTCCAGGATAGCCAAGGCCACACAGAAACCCTGTCTCAAAAAAGAAAAAAAAAACAAACAAACATTTAATTGGGAGCTTGCTTACAGTTTTAGAAAGTTAGTCCACTAGCATCATGGTGGGATGCAGATAGGCATATTACTGGAGCACTTTTACATCCCAATCCACAGGTAGTAGGGAGAGAGAGAGAGACAGAGACAGAGAGGAGAGACTGGGCCTGGTTACATCCTGATCCACAGGCAGCAGGCAGAGGGAGAGAGACACTGGGCCTAGTGTGGGCTTTTGAAACCTCAAAGCCCACTCTCATTGAAACACTGCTCTATCTAACAAGGCCACATCCTCCAATCCTTCTAATCCTTCTTAAACAGTTCACCAACTGGGGACTAAGCATGCTGTAGACCAGGCTGGCCTTGAATTTAGAGACCCTGAGACCTCCCGAATACTGGGATTAGAGGTGTGCACCACCACCACAGTTAATTAACAATTTTAAAAAGAGCTGCACTTTAATTCTGTTTGCTTCCTCATTTTGTTTTTAAGATAAAACTTGGAAGCTGGAGAGATGGCTCAGTGATTGACAGCACTGGCTACTCTTCCAGAGGACCTGGGTGTGATTCCCGGCACCCACATAATGCTCACAACCATCTGTAGCTCTAGTTCTAGGATTCTACTACTCTGGCCTCCCTGGGTGCCTGCACTCACATATTCAGACACACATAAATATAGATAAAAAGAATATAAATCATCAGAGTTGCCAGAAGTAAAAAATAAAGCTTATTATTTTTTTGAAAAATTCTATATTTTAATTATGTGTATATGTGGAAGGGGGTGTACATGGGAGTGCAGTGCTCACCAAAGCCAGAAAAATGTATCCATTTCCCTGGAGCTGAAGTTACAAGGGGTTGTAAGCTTCCTGATGGGTGCCAAGAACCAAACATGTCCTCTGTAAGAATAGTACACTCAGTTTAATTGTTGAACCACTTTACCAGCCTCTAAAGCTTATCATTAAAGACCCAGAGACAGCCAAGTGTGGTGGCGCACACCTTTAATCCGAGCACTCAGGAGGCAGAGCCAGGCAGATCTCTGTGAGTTCGAGGCCAGCCTGGGCTACAGAGTGAGTTCCAGGAAAGGCGCAAAGCTACACAGAGAAACCCTGTCTCGAAAAAAGAAAAAGAAAAACAAAATCCTCAGCCAGGTGGTGGCCCACGCCTTTGATCCCAGCACTCGGGAGGTAGAGGCAGATGTATCTCTGTGAGTTCCAGGACAGTCAAGGCTACACAGAGAAACCCTGTCTGGAAACCACTCCCCCCTAAAAATAAATAAATAAATAAATAAATAAATAAATAAATAAATAAATAAATAAATAAATAAACAAATCCTCTGTTGTGTAGCTATTTCCTCCGGATTGAAACATTACCTCCTTAGGGAAGGGGAAGGTTTATACAACACACAGAAAATTACAAAACACATAAGAAAATTACAAGAGGACTCCTGAGGCCTCTCTCTTAGGTCTGCCTGAGGTTGTATAGCAATAAGCAGTATGTTTTGATTTCTTTCTTCATCCGGCTGTATGGGAGCTGGGAAGATTGCTCAGGTAGTAAAGCGTTTGCCACGCACGCATGAGGACCTGAGTTCAGATTCAGACCTTGGTGTGGCGGTGCGTGCTTGCAATCTCAGTGCTATGGAGGCGCCCAGACAGGTGGATCCCTGAGGCTCAGTGGCCAGCAAGCCCAGCCTACTTGGTGAGTTCCAAGCCTGTAAGAGACTCTGTTTCAAAAACAACATCACTCAGACAGGAGTGTGCCTGAGACCATGAGGCCTCTGTGAGTGAGGCAGGAAGAGACTCCCACTCCGGTGGGCAGGTGTGGACAGCTGGGTGTCCCCAGTGACCCAAGTGCCAGTCCCAGGAGATGGTATTAAGCTCCCAACTAACAGGACAGGAATCTGAACCCCAGGGTTGTGTGAGCACATGCGGTGCAGCCCGAATCTGTTAGGAGGCAAGTGACATTGGACGGGCAAGTGACAGAAAAACCTACTGAAAGGACCAAGCAGATGCCATAACAGGCTGCTCAGTCTTCTCTCAGAGATCAGGCCTCAATTTCAGTTTCCTGAGACTTGAGCAAGCAGTTTCTGGGAGGGCCATGAACAAAAGACTGCTCAAAGTTCAGCCAGATGTTTACTTTCTGGGGCCCCTCACCAACTTAGAGTTATGTGCAGTACGTGCTTGGCCAGCCAGCCCCCATGGTGGCTCAAGGACAAAGCCTGGGACTTGTGCTGGACTGCCCCCAAAGTAATAAATTGTAACCACCAACCAGTAAATTCAAAGGTTACATACCCTCACCCAATTAAAAGAGAACAGAGATAAAAATAAACCAATCCGAGTTGCACCCGTGCAAAATTCCCCCAACCCCCATGAAGGGCTTGTGGATTTTGCCTTTAAAAAGCCAGCCACACAAAGAAAAGGCAAGTTCCTCCTGGCCTCACGACTACAAGTGAGTGCTTTGGATCGAGCTTCCCTGCCCGCGGCTTGTAAACAAACAGAAATAAACCATGCTAATTGCATTCTGAACCTAAGGTCTGTGGTGGTTTGTCTTTGGGGTCCCAATCTGGGCATAACACTACCACGGCTGTAGGTGATAAGGGTTCATTTTCCCCACACAGCGGAGCAGAGCCAGGCAGAGGGTGGGTGACGGTGTCAAGGATCTGGACTCTTCCCTTCCTGGCACCCTGTGCCCTGATGCTCGGCCCTCATGCTTGTGTGACTTTATAGTCTTAATATGGCCACCGCAGCCCCAGGCATCATATTAGCATTCGGGGCAGGAAGAAGAAAAGCGAGATGATTCCCAATGATACAGTCTCCTCGTTGAAGAAATTAAAAGAAAAACAAAACCTACCCTGAGCCATTGAGATTGCTCAGCTGGTAAAGACCCCCCCCACACACACACACACACACAGACCTGATGACCTGAGGTGCCTCCCTGAATACCCCAGGAGAAAGAGAGATCTGACCCCCAAAAGTTGACCTCTGACCTCCACACTGTGCCATAGTCCTCTGTCCCCATCTAATAATAATAATAATAATAACAAATAATAGTAATAGATTATAAAATTTAAAAGCCTTTAATGTCCTAGTTGAAAGATCTAATAAATGAAACAAAAAGGAAGGAAGGAAGGAAGGAAGGAAGGAAGGAAGGAAGGAAGGAAGGAAGGAAGGGGAGAGGAAAGGGAGGAGAAGAAAGGAGGTGGGGAGGGAGGGGAAGGCATCCTCCCAGAGCCCAGAATGGAGTCGCAAGGTCACTTTGCAGCCACACCAGAGTCTGGGAAGGTTCTCTAGCCTTTGCCTTCTGCAGCAAGACAGTAACAGTGGACTTTGAGGATGGCTTCTTAGCTTGCCGACAACGGCATTTACACCACTTTCTTCTCTGGCCACCACGAAGGCATCCAGAGGATAAACGGCACAAGTCTGTCCTAGTCCGTGTGCCTTGTACATGTCGCTCCCTGGACTCTGGATACTTTCCTGTTTGCCAGTGTGTTTTGTGCCTACAGTTTTCGGGTGACTTGGCAACCTGTTTCAAGGGCGATGACAGTGTTAATAAATTTTGACCCAGTTACAAAAAAAAAATCAACAAGGTGGATGGTGCCTGAAGAGTAACATTCAAGACCGACCTTTGTCCTCTCCATGCACACATACCTACACACAAGCACAAAATCCAGCTGTATGGTCTGTACCAAAATAGAGTATGGAAAGCTTGTAAGAGTAACAAGCTGGAAAAATACACCCAAA